ATGACACACGGTATCTCTATCACTACCCCGGCTACTAGCACACCGGATGTCTATTACAACCCCAGCTACTACCACATGGGTTGTATATCACTACCCCGGTTACTGACACACGGTATGTCTATCACTACCCGGCTACTACCATACGGGATGTCAATCACTACCCCGGCTACTGACACACGGNAAAAGGTACATTAATTTTCGAAAACATCTTAACTAATAGGTAAACAGAACACTAGAACTGAAATCTGTTGCTTTATTTAATATTTTAACTTTCGCTGGTTACTTACGAGCTCTCCATTCTTGGAACATTGACACGGCGGCTGACCATTTCTCTTTGACGACTTTTCCGATCGACGGCGCATAGCCCAACAGCAGAGTTAGAAGCACACACAGCAGATTACAGACTATCTCATTCCCAATTCGCTAAAAAAAGTTAAACCATAATTGTTTTGTTGAAATTGTACTATAATACAACCATTCAATGTTCCAGACCAGCAAACTCCTACGATACCGACTACGGAAAAGAAAGCCGTTTTTGTGCCAACTGGACGCAATGAAAGCATAGACGGCGGGTGATAAAAATTGCGAAATACACACAGCTAAATCATATTAAACATATTTTATTGTAATTTATATACAATGGGAGTTGGGCACAAGTTTAACACCTTATATTAAGACATTTCCCTACGACACATTAATACAAATTTTCAAGATGACATGTATCATATATATATTTACTTTGGCTTTAACTAAGAGAGAGAGCGAGAGAGAGAGAGAGAGAGAGATAGGAGAGAGAGAGAGAGATTTAGTTGGTAAACATATAGGAGTGCAAGAAAATATTCTCAAAATATGTTAGTATTTAGAATAAATTGCTGCGTCTGTTTGGCTACTAGGAAGTTTTCTTGATAGGACAATTCATTTTTACCGTAAAGTAGTGGCTGCAAGTCAAATGGAATGAAATCTTAATTCTTAATTCGCGGTAGATTTAATTCTCTGATCCGCATAATTATAACAAACAAACAAAAGTGATATGTATCTTCTATAGAATGTTCACATTGACAGTGCTGAAAATCACTATAATAGGTGTAATACTTTGTGAATAGAAGAATCAGATAAGCATCATCTCAAAAATGCTCTTACTTAATTATTAGTAAAAAAAAGTGTTGACGTTCTTGTAACAAGAGAGGAAAAATGCACGCCCAGGCCGGAGTTCGAACCCAGGAACCTCCGAACTCCAGACGGATGCTCTACCAATTGAGCGATCTGGTCGCCGACAATCGACCCAGTCCAGTTCTACTACATTTTCATAACAGTCATTAAAATAACAAATATGTAATCCTTACCAATGTCAGATCGGCAGCCTTTGGACAGACTTTCTCAATTTCTCCAGCGTTGAAATAATAAAACAATCTTTTGGCATATCCTGGCTCGGGCTCCACGCTACAGAGGTAAAATTACAAACTTAAGATTAACTATATTTCCAAACATTCAATATCAACACATTCGTAATCTTGATTAAGCTATTGGCATTTATTTGAGCGCCGTGAGGTCTTTGCGTAATGTCAAGTCAAAGAATAACATATAAGATTTCATCCTACCTTTTCTGATCCAAACTTACCACGTAAGGTCCCGATATACAGCAGGCCCTTGGTGCATGGCGCACATCATTACCACAAATATCAAGAATATCTTGATATTCATTGTGGTAATCGAAGATTTAAACAAAAGTAGTAAATATCAGGGGAGAAACTGATCATCTCCGCCTTCACCGATTGCTAAGCAGCTTAGCAACTGGTATGTGACGTCACAAGTGGGTATCTCTTTTGTATCGATCATGACGTCATGCTGTTGTCTTTTACCTAAAAAGTGCAAGCGGTTACACGTTGGTGACAATGTGTATGGTACCAAAATGGCTTCTGTTATGAGTCGAACCCTGGACAAGCGGCAGTGAGTGATTCTAGTAGGAGTCGAATAGCGACAGGATAAGTTTACCGTAGAATTCCACTAAAATGGGTCTGTATTCATGAAACCGTTCCCATGCTCAAAAGCATGGACTATGTGCTCAAACCAGTTTTCCTGTAACTCACTTTAATAATGTCAAACGATCAAAAAGTCAAATGAAAACATTGGAAACAGTATACGGCCTTCAATTTTTTTCCAAATCATTGACAAAATTAGTGCTTTTATTAATCTATAACCGGGACAGGAAATAAGGCTTGAGCACAAAATACGTGCTTGAGCATGAGAACGGTTCCATAAACACGGGCCCACGATATGTGTTTCCGTCAGAAATTGAAGACACAACGAAAGTAGAGTACATCGAATTCTGCGATGTAGCCTGGATCAAATATGTTATTCCTGAAATATTGTTCTATTAGGAAATGAAATCTGGACTAACGACACAGGTCTTGGGCAGTGTGTCGAACCCATGTGCAAATTGAAATTAAAACTATATATATGCAGTTATCCCCCTTTTACCTGGTCGCCGGTAAATCCGGCAAATTGTTTTTCGTACCAAGCTGCATTGTACGTGGCAAAAGGAACCATAATAAAAATGGAACATACTGGAATTTCTTCACGAGATCCCATTAGGGTTCGGGTGTTCAAATGGTAATCTCCACCACATTTAGATTTGAACGGTTGGAAGTTCATTTCATTGTGCTTAGCACGTATTAAAAGAAAAATAACACACATTCTGATATGGCGCCCTTTCTGTTCACTCGTTCGCCCATCCTTCTTTCGGTAGAACTGATAAAGCATTATAGGTTTCCTACTGTGTTTTTGATTCTCCAACCGCTACTTGACTCATATAATATACAGAGCAAGCGGAATGCATATTTTTTTTCTCTCGAATAGTCAACACTTTAGCTAACACGAGCGAAAGCAATCGGGAACAGTCGGCACTTTCCGTAAACGCATCTTTTCTCGTTTACGGAATGTGCCGACGGTTTTCGATTATCCGGGAATATAGCTATTTGAGAAGGAAGCCTTATACGGAAAAAGTGGAAAGGGATCAACTGTATGTCGTCAGTGTTTGGTAACAGTTCACGTTAAGTATCTACGAATAATGAACCATTTCACTTTCTTAGTTATTAAACGATGACACATCTTCAACATTTATAATTTCGTCTCGCACACAATTGATTAACATGCGGTTTATAGATTCGCGTAAAAAGTTATAATGAAACTGACTGTCTTTTGTCTGTCATAACAAATTAAATGGCCATGACGACATCTTATGACCAAAGAAATTATCGTGATGGAAGGAAAAATATGTTCTAGAAACTTCAATTAAATATATTAAACATGTATCTGCTTACCCTGCATGTGGTGCTGAGGACATATAAAAATGATTGATCTGACGCCTTCAAATTATAGAGCTAGAGTGACGTACAGATAGACAGAGAGAATAGAGCGGGAAAAAGAAAGAGAATGCCTTGTGGATGTCTTAGGTCAGTGTTCAGTCGTCAATGGTCAGTTATAGACAATACAGTCCCGCATATACATCACCCGGGCCTATTGTGGATATGCTGTGTTACACGTATATTGTAAACGAAAGCACAAAATGTAAGTTTGAAAACCGGCCGCGATACGGATTTTCCTGATTCCGCACACAGTATAAAGATAAGTAAACACAAATTATTTAATGATGCTTGAAAAAACCAGGCGAAGTCCTTGAACACAATACATCTCCAGCACACACACAGGCATACACACATCGGGAGATATTAGCCAGGTGCCATAGTACTAGTTGTTAGCGCCTGATAAGGCAGCTTCTGCGAATTCCTCAATATTGTATTGATTAATTTATATGCTAATTGTGTTGACTGTATACAATTGTATATCAATGTACTGTAAAGCGCTTTAGAGTGGCTTATGTTAGCTAGATAGGGCGCTATATCAAATGTTGTATATTTATTTATTTTCTATTTATAACACTTACAAATAAAATACAACACATTAAAATATGACAAATATTTAGCAGGGTGCCACCCCACCGTTACTTTTTATTACATGTAAATATTTCATATTTTTTACATTTTGTAATAAACTATTCAATGAAAAACGAAATTTAATCTGCTTTAAGAGAATTTCATTTCATATATGTCCTATCGTTTCTGTTCTCTACGTTTATCGGTTTTTATCTTGGAAGAACCTTTTCTGAAATAGTGTGGTAATATAAACATGAAGAATCTCTTTGATGAGATGAAAGTGCTAATGACGTGTTGTTAAGATTTTTGTTCTTTTTATATAATATACATGTATGTATATGTACCGACCATCATGATACATGTACAAAACGAATTTAGAGGAGGACCGTAAATCCGCAGGCCGTATTCACGGAAATGTGATCATGCTCAAAACCAGATTCTATGCTCAAGCCATTTATCTTGTTCCGCTATTAGATGAATACAATTAACATTTTGTCAATATGTTTTTGAAGAATTGTGGGGTCTTAAAGCCGAACATCATTTCAATGTTAACATTTGATTTTTTGAGAGTGTCGCATTATATAAGTGATCATGAGTAACAGAGTTGGTTTGAGCACAGAATCCTAGCTTTAGCATTGTAACGGTTTCGGGAATACGGGCCGAGGTGTCGGTAATATAAGTTCAGTCTCACTTCAATGTATGACATTTATTACGTTTTTACGAATCTATGACATGTTTACAACGACGGTTACAAAAATATAACATAAATACGAAAATCAATTTGAAGATATTTTATTGATTACATGATTGTTACTACACAAAGTACACAAAAGCAAAACTGACCAGTACAAAATTGACAGAACTTTGCATGTTGGCAATTCAATTGAAACAAGTTTGCAATTGACCAATCTAATAATGAACGAAAATTTATAAATTGGACCACTGCTTGTCAACAACACTGTTCAAAAGTTTTTCATAAGCTCACTAACAATCTGCATCCACAAAGCTTCACCTTGACATTTTAATTAATATAAGAAACAATATAAACACACTGTATCACTGGTCAAAAAACATTCCTTTTGGAACTTATCGTGACAAAACCCCTACGACAGCCAAATCGAGGCTGTGACGTCAATCCTCAAACTTCTATTCCATCACCGACTGTCATCCTCATTCTTCCCTTTGAACGACGTAACGACTCTGCAATGAAATAAATAGATAAAATAAATTATAAAATTTCATGTAAACTTAATGCACAATCTGTCCGTTCTCCAATGCAGAATATGTTGTCATGTAGTGTAGTATGGACATAAGGGAAATTAATTTAAAATATTTGCATTAAAATGATTAATCAAAATCAAAAAAATATATCCTTATGTTTTTATTTTTAAGGAGGAACGTACCTAGCGAAGAAAAGGTAACCAACCTATAGCGAGAAATGAGTACATAGTGAAGAACAAAATACCGACCTAGCCAGGACATTTTACCTAGAGAGGGATATAGTACCTACCGAGTGAGGGACATAGTACCTATAGAGAGGTATACCTACCTAGCAAAGGACATAGCACCGATTGAGTGACAGTCCTAGCGAGGGACATAGCACCAATCTAGCAAGGAACAGAGTACATAGAGAGAAAGAGTACTGTTCCTAGCAAGGAACATAAGAGCTAGTGAATGACAGTGTTCCTAGCGAGGGACAAATTACATAGGGAGGGATGCAGTACTAACTTAGTAAGAGACAGAGTACCTAGATAAGGATATGACACCAACTTAGCAATGGACAGAGTACCTAGATAAGGATATAACACCAACTTAGCAAGGGACAGAGTACCTAGATAAGGATATAACACCAACTTAGCAAGGGACAGAGTACCTAGATAAGGATATAACACCAACTTAGCAAGGGACAGAGTACCTAGATAAGGATATAACACCAACTTAGCAAGGGACAGAGTACCTAGATAAGGATATAACACCAACTTAGCAAGGGACAGAGTACCTAGATAAGGATATAACACCAACTTAGCAAGGGACAGAGTACCTAGATAAGGATATAACACCAACTTAGCAAGGGACAGAGTACCTAGATAAGGATATAACACCAACTTAGCAAGGGACAGAGTACCTAGATAAGGATATAACACCAACTTAGCAAGGGACAGAGTACCTAGATAAGGATATAACACCAACTTAGCAAGGGACAGAGTACCTAGATAAGGATATAACACCAACTTAGCAAGGGACAGAGTACCTAGATAAGGATATAACACCAACTTAGCAAGGGACAGAGTACCTAGATAAGGATATAACACCAACTTAGCAAGGGACAGAGTACCTAGATAAGGATATAACACCAACTTAGCAAGGGACAGAGTACCTAGATAAGGATATAACACCAACTTAGCAAGGGACAGAGTACCTAGATAAGGATATAACACCAACTTAGCAAGGGACAGAGTACCTAGATAAGGATATAACACCAACTTAGCAAGGGACAGAGTACCTAGATAAGGATATAACACCAACTTAGCAAGGGACAGAGTACCTAGATAAGGATATAACACCAACTTAGCAAGGGACAGAGTACCTAGATAAGGATATAACACCAACTTAGCAAGGGACAGAGTACCTAGATAAGGATATAACACCAACTTAGCAAGGGACAGAGTACCTAGATAAGGATATAACACCAACTTAGCAAGGGACAGAGTACCTAGATAAGGATATAACACCAACTTACCAAGGGACAGAGTTCCTAGATAAGGATATAACACCAACTTAGCTAGGGACAGAGTACCTAGACAAGGATATAACACGAACTACGCAAGGGACA